AGGCCTGAAATCTTGAAGCAGGAAATCAAAGTCTTCTTTGTGAAGTACAATGATCCCATCTATGTTAAACTAGAGAAACTGGACATCATGATTCGTTTAGCATCCCAAGCTAACATTGCTCAGGTCAGACTTAAAGCAGATTCAAGTTTATAAATCACTTAGATCTTAAGGTCTGGCCTTCAGAAGCAGCTAGGCCATGAAATTGCTGTTTGAGAATCCTTATTGATTATTCACTTCCTGGATTTTTAACAGGTTCTGGCGGAATTAAAGGAATATGCCACAGAGGTGGATGTTGACTTTGTTCGCAAGGCTGTGCGGGCCATCGGACGGTGTGCCATCAAAGTGGAGGCAAGTGTCTGATGGTAGTTGTGATCACATTACGGGATTTAGAGTGTTCTTTTCACTCCTTTTTTTAAAATATGTTTTTTAAACTTATTAAAATAATAAAGCACATAGTTAAAACTCCTAGAGGGAATAATTTTTAAGTCCTTCTAGTTTCAGTTACTTTGCTGCTTCCATATTTCTAAATAATATGGTATTTATTGATTTACCAATTATAGATATTATCTATTAACTTTGTGCTATGAGTTAAGTAACAGTTTATGTACCCCACCATTCCTACTTGAACCCTCCTATTCTCCAGTAGTTGTATCATGAGGTTTTTTCCTTCCTATATAGATTATCTTTGTAACTTGAGATAATATGCCTTCATTTATTCTGTCAACTAAAGGCTTGCAAAATTCCCTATTATGACCAAATATGTAGAGCCAGTATAATACAAATGATTATATTTTCTTTCTTATAGAGTCTTTTTTTCCTGGAGTTTCTATAATGGCCTTTGTTTTTTTCTTGCATTGTGTGTCTTCATGGCATCCCTTTCTTCCAGCTTTTCAAGCATAGTATCGAACCTGTATCCTGGACCCTTCTGTCTTCCGGTCCTCTGTCCTCTCACTTGCTCCAGTCTGGCTTATTGCTTGTTTGGCCTCTGCATAGCCATCATTCCATGGGGCCTCTCTTCATAACTCTTTCTTGTTATTGGTACTTCTCTCACGGCATTCATTTTTGTGTGATTGCAATAGCTTCTTGAGTCTCTGGGGATATGAATTACAGTGTTTTGTGTCTGTGGTTTAAATTATCTGGAGTATCGAATGGTGACCATTGCATGTCTGTATATAATTTTTTCATTGAGGCATATAGCACACATATAATAAATTGCAACCCATTTATATTTAAGAATGAGATAACAGAAAAGTCAATCAGGACTTCTGTGAGCATAGGCCGGGCTGCTGACTAACAGGTTTCTGCTTTAGGGCAGGGAGTTGATCTTTACGGTGTCCTCTGAAAGAGCCTCTCTGTGATCTTTGAGGGCAGATTGATTTTTAGCTTGGTTGCAGCCTTCCAGTAGGTGTTATGGGCTACAATTTGCATTGCCCTACTTCATCAGTCTCCGGTCCTCTACTTGTTCATCATTCAGAAATGTGTTGGAATTAATGAAGGCCTCTGTTTGCTATGATTTGTGGATTCAGAGCTCCATATATGTTCTTGCTACTTGACTGTATGCAGTTCTGCTTAGAGTCAGAGGGTTGGACGATATGATTTCTCAAGTATACTAAAATAATTTGTACGGTCTGTCCAGTACTTCTTGGGAACGGAAGGAAACAGATGCTGTGTCAGAGAAGCATCTATGAAAGCCAAGTTCCTAATTGGCCTTCCTTGTTTTTATTTGAGACAGGGCTGCTTCATGTCGTACCACTGATAAATCATGTAGCAGTCTAGTTGTTGGAGCAAGACTTAGTTAATTCATCCTGGTTTCTACTCCTGGTTCTCATAGCCTAGTTGCTTCAGGTATTTAATACGTTCTGTTGCTCCATTGAGGAATGGGGATGTCTGACTATTGGATCTTGATACATCTTTTTTTATCACCACTCTTCACATTCTTTTTTCTTTTCTTACTCCTTTTCTTACCTATTTACTTAATTTTCAGAGAGATTTTGGTAGCATAAAGAGTAATTTTGTGCTATTCATTGCCAGACTGTCATTGTCTTATTGACTTCTTTGGCAAAGCTCTAAAGAATAATACAAAATTGTATCATTCCAAAGTTAAAAGAGGTTTTCAATCCCTGGAATTACTAGAAAGCATTCTCCATCTGGATCTCTAGAGGCTGTTAATGCCATGTATTGTGACTAATGGAAAAATAGTCCATAATCTTCTGGAAGGGTTAAACTTCTGATGGCTTTCACTTCTTCCTTTGACTCAGGGTGCCCTGGTGGGAATATGAGAGTATGTGAGGAATGAACTTTGTCTGGAAGTGATTAAGATCAGCCTTCAAGGTTCCTGCCTTCTAGCTCTCTTAGGTTGCCTGTATTTGCTGGAGTGCTTTTCCTAGACCTGTTTCAGTCATGAAGGTTATCAGTTGGAAACAGTTGCCTGACCCAAATACAGTCATTGGGGCAGGAGAGGTGATGATTGCCTGTTTCTAACTAAGCATTTATGGGAAGGGGGATGAACCAGTGAGGGGATTGTAGTAGACTTTCTGGGTAGCCTCTAAACCAAGCTACTGCATTCTTTCACGGCATCTTACCCTTTTTTTAATGTGTAGTTGGTTCCAAAGATATGACAGATGAGAAAAAATGAATTTTAGTTTCATGCTTAGCTGTGAGAGCAGGGCCTGTTGGAAAGTTTAGGTGTCTTTAAGAGTTTGAGTTGTATTTTTATCATAACTGTAAATACAGATGTTTCTATGTTGCTGTAAGTATCCTGAGGTGAAAAAAATACATAATTTTGTTCCAGATGGTTAGGTTAAAGATAAAGCAGTAAGCCGCTCAATCAATAAATAGTACTGGAAAGGTAATCCTATAGTATTGTTTTTTCAGAAACTTTTGCCTATTTCTTTTTTGTCTGTTTTTTTTAGTAGCTTTTACTCTCCCTCACCCCCAACTTTATTGAGGTATGATTGACAAAATTGTATATATTTCCAGTGTATACCTATTTCTTTAAGGAGGAGATAAACCCCTGGTCCTTCTTAGTCTTCCAGATAAAATCAAATGATTTTATTTCTTTGAGAGAGATTAAGGCAGTAAGTTCTAAACTTCCTAGTCTTCTGCTCTCTGGTGTTCACTATTTCTACTTTCTATAAATCAAGATAAGATACTGATATGTGTCTCATCCCTTTATTTATTTATTTATTTTTATTTTGTTCAGTTAGCCACCATATTCATCCCTTAATTTAAAAACAGAGATTATATTTTTCCTGTTAGGAAAGCCATTATGTGTTTACTAAATAAAATTATAAAAAAAAGACAAGTTAAATGAAAATGAAACACTGTTTTCTCCTACCTATTCCACCCTCCCAGAGATGATGTGGTTGTGATTTTCAGTCTTCGTCTATGTAGTCCATCATACACAGGTGTACTTTTTACAAAAATGAGATCATCCTAGAAATGTTATTCTGTAGTCTGCCTTTTTCATTAAATTATACGTGGACATTTTTCCATGTTACTGTTAACATTTGACATAATTTTTAATGGATTATAGACATAATGTTTGATTGCTTCATTATTTAACCTTCCTCTTATTGTAGTACCTTAAAGTTCCTGCTCTTTTTCCAAATAGTGGTATAAAGAGGACTTTGTAGCCAAGTCTTTTTTTTTAGCATATAATGTATTATTTGTTTCAGAGGTACAGGTCTTTGATTCATCAGTCTTACACAATTCACAGCGCTCACCATAGCACATATCCTCCCCAATGTCCATCACCCAGCCACCCCATCTCTCCCACCCCCCTCCACTCCAGCAACCCTCAGTTTGTTTCCTGAGACTAAGAGTCTCTTATGGTTTGTGTCCCTCTCTGGTTTCATCTTGTTTCATTTTTTCCTCCCTTCCCCTATGATCCTCTGTCTTGTTTCTCAAATTCCACATATCAGTGAGATCATATGATACTTGTCTTTCTCTGATTGACTTATTTCGTGTAGCCACATCTTTGATCTCTAGTGAAGGCGAGCTGTTTTCATTTGTTAGTCCTTTGGAATTGCTTGTTCACGTCCTGTGCACCTTTTCCAATGGGCTTTTCCACATTGGTTTTTTTAAAACAATCCTTTATAATTAAAGATATCAATCCCTCATTTTGTTAGCAGTTATTTTCCCAATTTGTTTTCCTTTCAATTTCATTTACTATCTTGATGCACAGAAGTTTACATTTCCTTATGTGGTGAGTTGTTTTCTCAGTAGTTGTTTTCTCAGTAGTTGTTTTCTCAGTAGTTGTTTAGTGGCAGAATGTTGTTTTCTCAGTAGTTGTTTAGTGGCACCATAGAAGATTGTGCTTCACCTCAAACTAAAACTCAGGGTTATTGTCTACTTTTATGGTGAAGATTCTGGTTTTTTACACTTAAAGATATTTTTAATAATTAAAACAATTAGAAAGAATTTTGGTGAAAAATGTGAGGGTGAGATCAAACACCAGAACAAATCATCCTTTCCTCACTGTTAAGAAGTTTTGTCTCATACTAAATTTTATAAGTGCGTATGTATTTCTCTGTTTCTGGACTTTTCTGTCTGAACAGTGATTGGATGTTTAGTTTACTCTTGCCCCTCTGCCATACTGCTGTAATAATGGTGGGCTTTCTTTTTCGTTAATCAAAAAGCAGTATGGTTGAGATGACAATTTGCTTGAAAATTACTGTCCCAGACTTAAATGTTTTTCAAATACTGATGCATCATAGGAAATGGCCTTTTTTCTTTATTATAATAGTGATAGGAAGGGCTCACTAAATGTGAGCTTTATATCAAGCCCTGTGTTAATCACTGTATCTGTATTATTTCATTTATGATAATTTACATCTTAAAGCAGCCTTATCCTATATACTTTATAATTTATCACAACTTAAGTTTTATCAATTATTTTTCTGTTGCAGTAACTGCACAGGAATTACTAGCTAAAAATGAATAAAATAGAATCCAAAACTGGAAAAAATACATAAAAGATGGCAGAGTCATTTCATGGAGCAATAGAGACATCAGATGAATAACCTCAAGATGCAATTTTGTTTTCATTAAATTGCTTGGAGTGGTTTAACTTAGTACCTTTAAAAGATTTTATTATCGTAGTTTTCAGGCATACACTAAAGTTGATAATGAGCTCTCATTACACATCATCCATTTTGAACAAATAACATATTACTGCTTTTATCTTCTCCCTCCCCTTCAGGGAGTGGAGTGCTAATTGAATTTTAATGCGAATCCCAGATAGGCTTTTACTAGAGTAGTCCAGTGTGTGTATCTAATAGAGAAGGTCCCTAAAAAAATAAATTGTCACAATACCATTACTGTACCCAACAACTAGCAATAATTCTTAATCTCATTGAAGATCTAGCCCATATTCAGTTTTCCCTAATTGTGTCAGTGTCTTTTTATAGTTGGCTTGTTCAAATAAAAATCTAAAGAAGATCCACATGTTGCATTTGGTTAATGTCTCTTAAGTCTTTACTTACTTACTTTTGGTGCCATTTATTAAAGGTCATTAGGCTTGTATAATTTCCCAGAGTCTGGATTTGGCTGGTTGTATTTTATTTTATTTTTTATTTTTATTTATTTGAGAGAGAGAGTGAGAGAGAGAGAGCACAAGAAGGGGGGAGGGTCAGAGGGAGAAGCAGACTCCCCGCTGAGCAGGGAGCCCGATGCGGGACTCAATCCCTGTACTCCGGGATCATGACCTGAGCCAAAGGCAGTCGCTTAACCAACTGAGCCACCCAGGCGCCCTGGCTGGTTGTATTTTAGTGATACTGTTTTTCTCATTCTGCCATCCCCTGTAGATAATTAAATTTAGAGATTTGGTAATGTTCATGTTCAGTATTAGGCAAAAGTACCTCTTTGGCGATGCTGTGTACTTTCTATTGCATCTTATCAGGAGGTAGGTAATGGAGTGACCCATCGTAGTACATTGTGATATATGATAAATCAGTCCTTGATTTTTAGGATCTCTTGTCTGAAACCCTTCTCCTTTTAAAAAACTATGACTTATAGTTGCAGTATATTAGTTTTATCACTTATATTCTCCCATAGTCCCTTCATTAATAAAAGATTAATAGATTAAATCTTATAGATGAACTATAGGCTGGGGAAAATTGCAATTTAAGGCCATAGACTTTCAGTTATATAGTTCAGAAGATGGCAAATTTTCCTTAGAGTTTTTTGAGTCACAGATAACTTTGAAAACATAATGAAAGCTATGGACCCTCTGCCTGGAAAACATACTTGTATGCATATATGCAATTTGGCAATTTCATTTCAAGAGGTTCAAAGATGCCTTCTTCTGTCTCCACTTACCCATGAACTCCAGAAAAAGACCTACCTTGGCTTATTCTTTCTTTCTTCTTTCCTCCTACCTTGACTCATTCTTTCTTCTTATTTCTGTTCTCCGTGGCTATCCAAGACGATTATTTTTGTTTGAATCAACTTACCTGTCAATATATTTTGCAATGAATAAAATTTGGGGTATATCTGGAACTTCTGTGTATCTCCATCAAATAGCCTAGCGTCTAGTGTAGCTTGGTCAAATTAAGTGCCTGATCTTTTAGTCTAGTCTAGTTGGTGCACCTGTATGTTTCAAAGTTATCTTTATATTGAGGTTGCGTTATTGGAGAGATCATCTGACTTGTCATTTATTATGTTCTTCTTTGTAGCAATCTGCTGAGCGCTGTGTAAGCACATTGCTTGATCTCATCCAGACCAAAGTAAATTATGTGGTCCAAGAGGCAATTGTCGTCATCAGGGAC